CTCCTCAGGGCTTGTGAAGCTGTTTGCCTCACGTTCACCTTTGGCCAGTCTCCATTGGGCCACCAAGGCTGGGGGCATCCTCTTCCCAGGCCGCTGTGGGGTGACCTGAGGAGGCACCTCTCTTTGGGGCAGGGGGGAGCAGTTCAGAGACTGGCGGCGGCGGCGGCAGCTACCCAGAGAACTCCCAAGGAGAAGGGGAGAGGAGGCTGAGGGATCACTCCACAAGGGAGGGCATTTGAAAAAGGATGAGGGGCTGTCAGCTCTGCAGGCAAGGAGGGACATAACTCGGCTCCTGAGCCCCACAGGGGTGCCGCAGAAAGAATGTAGTTGGTCAAGGGAGCCGTGGACTCAAAAGGGTTGCAAACCTCTGCTGCATGTAATAAAAATGTAAGAATGTCACCGCACGGCCATTGGAGGATTTGTAGTGCCTCATCTCGGTGGTAGATATGGATGAAGTCAGGGCAGGATAAGGGAGCAAAAGTGAAGATTTATTGCACAATAGCAGGGCTGTGGCATGGAAGCGAGAAGAGAAGGGCAGACACTGAGGGAGGGAGGGCAGTGGTTTGAAACAAAAGTTTGAGCAACGATGCAAAAAAGTGAAGGGGAAATGGCGGTTTTAAACAACAACAGAAGTTTGAGTGAAATACTAGGGAATAGTTGAGGACTCCACGTCCTTTGGAATATTTGAGAGCTCTGCACCTCTCTCACATGAGGCAGCCGAGGAATGGAAAAGTAAGAGTATATTAAGAAGGGGGAGACACTGAAGGGGGGAAAGTTTGAGTAAAACAGGGATGGAGAGAGAGTGAGAGGGAAAAGGAGGCTGTTTGAAACAACAGCAGAGGTTTGAATAAAGCCGGGATGGAGAAACAGGCTGAGATCAGACAGGCCTCCACCTCTGCGTTGAACTTTGTTTTCTCCCCCACAGAAGGCATATTAAGTCATATTGTGCCTATTTTGTTTTTTACGTGTGGTTTTTATTGTTTTATATATCATGTTATTGGACTGATGGAATGGTTTTGTTGACAGTTCTGTCAACAGCTTTGGGACCCATTTATGCTGAACAGCGGTCTTGGGAATAAATGAAATAAATAAATTCTGCAACTGCAGTTAGGCTCATCGAAATCAACAGACCTCTTATCCATGCCTGGCTGGGCTGAGCGATGTCTGGTTTTCAACATCGTGATACCAATATATCACGATGTCTAAAATAAGGCTGGAACTATGTAGAGGCGAACGGCTTAATGTTCCGGCAACTGCTACTACTTAGGGGTCTAAAACTTACAAGATTTTATTTACCTTTAACATACTGTTACAACTGTTATTTTGTAGTACAGAGCAACAGGGGCGGCAGGAATCATGAGAGAAGCAATGACTGGCTTCACAGTTTCCCCCACAAATCTCGATTTTTTTTTTACATAGCACACACGAACACATTGTGATTTGCGATATATTGCCATGTCAAATACTATGAAACCATTAGCACAGTGTGGACTTCAAAGCGATTTTGGACGATGTCTTGATACATTGTCCCACCCTAATGCCAAGTGATTACAATGGGTCTTCTCTGAGTGTATCTTGTATCAAGTCAACACATTGGTCCACATAGTACATTACTGTCTGCACTGACTTGCAGTAGCTCTCCAGGGTCCCAGCCCTCCTTGGAAATGCTGATGATTATACTAGGGACCTTCTGCCTGCAGAGCCTGTGGCCTTCCCCTAAGCTACGGAATCCTTATTCCATAATAGTTGCTAGATACTACATGTGGAAGAAAATCCAGCATTCACATTGTGATTAAAGTAAAGGTCTGTCCAATACTCTGCTTATTAAGGCAAGGCAATGGCACTGGAAAAGACCCCATCAACCAGAACCTGTTCTGAACTGATCAACGTGGTGTTCCAATTATACATGGCGCTAGCAGCTTTTTATTGCGATCAGGAAGTTGTTGCAACCTGGTTAATAAGAAACCATAAGGAAGTGACTGCACAGGAGAAAACACGGTAAAAGCAACATTGCTGAAATCAAAACCTCCAACATTCCATGCTCCCTTAATTCTTCCACCTTCCTACTAGCTTTATTTTTTACGTTCTAAGAGAGACGTGGCCTTATGAATAAACTCAGGTCTGCTGTAGGCTGAGGTCCTTACAGGTCCCAAATTCTGCTTCCATGTACAGTGGTACCTCGGGTTAAGTACTTAATTCGTTCCGGAGGTCCGTTCGTAACCTGAAACTGTTCTTAACCTGAAGCACCACTTTAGCTAATGGGGCCTCCTGCTGCCGCCACGCTGCCGGAGCACGATTTCTGTTCGTATCCTGAAGCAAAGTTCTTAACCTGAAGCACTATTTCTGGGTTAGCAGAGTCTGTAACCTGAAGCGTATGTAACCCGAGGTACCACTGTACAGGAGACAAAGTGGCTTTGTGGGCTGCTAGCTGTTCATCCCCCACCCTGAAGTTTCACGTCGCCTTTCATTCTTGCTGTTCCACTTAACAGAGATGGTTTTCTGGGATAGCTCAGTCGGTAAAGCATGAGACTCTTAATCTCAGAGTTTCAGAGTTGTGGGTTCAAGCCGTAATGGGGGGGGGGGGCGATTCCTGCATTGCAAGGTGTTGGGCTAGCTGACCCTCATGGTCCCTGCCAACTTTGACTTTCAAATACAGGGATGTCCCCCCAGTTTGCAATCAAATTTCCTGCGTTTTTTCTGAACATCATCTCTTTATTTTGTATACCACCCTTCATCCGTAGATCTCGGGGCCCTTCACAACATAAGAATACAAGTCCTTATCTACTCCCAGGAACTGAATTATCAAAATGAGGTGAAACAATAACCTCCTTTGGGGCTTCTCTTTTGGGTGGAAGTGGACTGCTAGCTTCAGACACGTAGGGGGGGAAATGGTTGGAAATGAAGAGTTCTGTGTTGGGCAAAAAATACGCAAACCAGCTGCTTACTGATTGTGGTTCAGTAAAACCGCTCCTCTTAGCCTGTTAGTTGCTTTCGTGGCTTTTGGTTCTGCATGGAAGAGTTCTGCCCAAATCCACCGCTTGGGGGCTCTGTGAGCACACCAAGATTTGAAAGAGCCGTCCTTTAAAAGAAAAAAAAAACCATATGAAGTTGGATTACAATTTTCCAACAAATTTTTGTTCTTGCTGTGTTGTTTAAAGCAGACACTAGATGGCACCGTTGTCCTGGTCATTGGTGACAAAAAAACCTCACGCTTTGCTCTCGTAGTTTTGCTTTTGATTTGCTTCTTAGCATACGAGCTCCGCAAGCAACATGTTGAATCATAGAATCATGGAAGTTGATTTTCCCTGAAACGGACAACTCATGGCCTGTGAACGAGGAAGGCGAGACTTGCCTCTTTCCCCTGGTATGTGTGGGGGGGGCACTGTTCACACTTAACGGTGCTGGAAGTGCACTCTGCATGTGCTCAGGGGCACTTTCACCTTCTCTTGCTTCTAGAGAGGAGGCCCAGACATTGAAAACATAAGAACAAAGGAAGCTGCTTTATACTGAACCAGAACACTGGTCCATCTAGCTCAATATTGTCCACGCAGACTTGCAGCGAGTTTCCAGGTATTCAGACAGGGGCTTCCTCAGTCCCACCTGGTGATACAGGGGATTGTACCTGGAGCCTTTTGCATGCAAAGCAGGCGCTCTATGGCTGATCCAGGTCTCTTGCTCAGCCTTGGTCCGCTCACCCACATTTCGGGTTTAATACTTCTGTGCCTTAACATGACTGGGCTAGTGTACGGAATTACTGAGATGAACTATGAGAAATATTCCAAGTCAATAGTACTGTACTGAACTGCTGAATGGGATTTTATGCATCATTATAATATATAACAAGCGCTCCTGCATTTCCCTTTGCGGCCTGCTTTTGTTGGCTTGGAGTGAGAGGCTACAGCAATCACGAAAAACCCTCCAGCTTTATGCCAGCCTCCTTTGTACCACGAGCCCCTTTCGTATCACATTCCCTGTTTGAAACGTGCGGGGGAGCCCTCCGTTTCCTGCCTGTTCCAGGTGGCTTCCGGCATATCAAAAACCAAAAAAAGCAGCAGCTTTCTGGAAAGCATGCTTTTTAAGATGCACATCTGCAACTGTGTGTCTTGGCTGTGACAACCAACAGCACAGATTGTGCCTGCCCTAATACCACGCTGGTAAATCCCCACGTCTTAGCAGCTGTAGCCCAGCAGAATCAAACCTCGCCTTTGCCAAATTCGTGACACCCGGGCCTCCGTCACGGGCGCCATCCTCGAGTGATCACCAGCTCCACCCCTTGGCTGCCCAACTCCCCAGCCTTGCCCAGAAGCCTCTTGCGAGAGATTCTGCTGGCATTGCAACCATTTGAAATCAGATTGCCTGGCTGAATTAAGCTGTGGCTTTGCTACTTTTCCTAGAGTTCGGTCTTCTTGATGTGTTTATTTTTAGTTTTTGCTCGTGGTGTGCAGCAGCACTGGCCGAGGGAGATAGGCTCCCGAGCCACTGCTAATTCACAACTGATATGACCGCAGAGCCATCGTGGTATCCAGATGATTTTAATAATAATAATAATAATTTATTATTTATACCCTGCCCATCTGGCTAGGTCCCCCCAGCCACTCTGGGCGGCTTCCAACAAAACACTAAAATAAATAACCTAAAATAAATAATCTATTAAACATTAAAAGCTTCCCTATACAAGGCTGCCTTTAGATGTCTTCTAAAAGTTTGGTAGTTATTTTTCTCTTTGACATCTGGTGGGAGGGCGTTCCACAGAGCGGGCGCCACTACCGAGAAGGCCCTCTGCCTGGTTCCCAGGGTGCAAGCAGAGCTGCCACTGCCTTGTTTTTAGAAATCAAAGTACTTCAGAGCTAGGGACAACTGAACATGCGCAGAGGGACATTCCCTAGGAGTAACAAGGGGGAGACAGTATGGTTGTTGGTTTTTTTTAAAAAAGGTCCATGTGCAAAGTGCTTTTCTCATCTTGGAGTCAAAAGTAGAGGCGATGAGTTTCTGATGGGGACAGGGATGTAGCTCAGTGGTAAAGAGCAAGACATGCCTCTTTCCCCTGGTATGTGCAGGCCAAAGGTCCCAGGTTCAATCCCCAGCATCTCCACGTAGGGCTGGGATTGTCCCCTGCCTGAAACCCTGGAGAGACACTGCCAGTCAGTGTAGACAGCACTGAGCTAGATGGACCAATAGCCTGACTCGGTAGAAGGCAGGTTCTTGTGCGTTGGATAGGGTCCCCCGTCAAAGCGCACCGGCCCGTTTCATGCTCTGTATTCTGCCAAACTTCTTTCAGGGTTTGTGCCAATCGAGTTGCGCAATTGTTTTGCGGGCCGTTTCCTCTTTTCTCAGGAATCGGTTTTGCTTTCCTAATTCTTTGGAAGAGGAGTCAGGAGGGGCGGCAGAAAGCCCCGGAGGACACGGTGACCTTGGGAGTGCTGCTCTTGGTTTCGTGAAACAATGTGCTTCTCTCTTCCAAGTGTCCCATCGCACCTTACTGAACCTACTGTAAAATTCCCTACTGTAAAAAATAAAAATAAATCTCGAAGCAAAGCAGGTGCAATCCATAGCATTGTTGTTGTTGTTTTTTAAAAAATAAGGATGTGGCTTGCACCCAATAACAAAAAAATATAAAGTGTAACAAAACGTAATTCTAAAAGCTGAGGTTGTGTGTTTACCAGACATCTGCATTGAGTTGCACGTCTGTGCCTCTGTCGTGGGTGTTGCCTGCACCTCCTAAAGCATTCCTCCTGTTAATAAGGGCTAGGAGAAGGGCCAGGGCAGCGCCCCAAAATATCATGTGGAAGAGCACAGCTGTGAGGGTGTAGCACCAATTCCTCCCCTCTTAAAAAATAATAATAATAATAGAATACACCCCATAGTGTTCTGTCAGCTGAGTGGGAAATCGAGAGGAGTTGGATTGAATTATTTTGCTAACCTATTTAACAAAATGCTTAGGAAGAGAACGTGGCTAACTCAGATCTGTCCATTTCAAAGGGTTGACTCTGGGTAAAAATTAGGTAAAGGTAAAGGGACCCCTGACCATTAGGTCTAGTCGTGGCCGACTCTGGGGTTGCGGCGCTCATCTCGGAGTACAGCTTCCGGGTCATGTGGCCAGCATGACTAAGCCGCTTCTGGCGAACCAGAGCAGCGCACGGAAACGCCGTTTACCTTCCCGCCGGAGCGGTACCTATTTATCTACTTGCACTTTGACGTGCTTTCGAACTGCTAGGTTGGCAGGAGCAGGGACCGAGCAACGGGAGCTCACCCCGTCACGGGGATTCGAACCGCCGACCTTCTGATCGGCAAGCACTACAATTCTAAGCTTTAGCCCGTATTAAGCATTAGGGACACATCTTTCATTCTCGCTGTCTCTCTGTGTGTGCTTTTCCTCTCTTTTCTCAAGCAAGTTCTGCAGTGACTCAGAGTTACTCTCCTGCATGCCAGATCTTGTTCTTAACTTCGCACATCTGCGTTGCAAAACTGGCTTGTGCTAATCGCTGGCGTTGTCCGTTGCTGAGGTCGGGTTACTGACGAGAGGGGTTGGAGTGAGAGTGGCTTGGACTGAGAGAGAGGATCCGGAACATGATTTAAAAGTCTTGAAACCTAGCCTGTCCCCCCCCTCTCCCCCCCCCTCTCTCTCTCTCGGTATGTGAATTGTTTTTGCGACTTCCATCTGTCTCGTGGGCTTCCTCCGTGATTTTTCAGCCACTTCCTCTCTCTAGTTGTCGCGCTGTTCACAATAGGCTGAGGCTTCCTGGAGCGCTCCACGCCGGCATGGAAAGCTCGGAAATCACTTCCGCCCCGTCTGTGATAGTGACCTAGTGCCCGCGGGGTCTCTTGTTCCCAGAAGTGCTGGTGGTGCTTAGACGGAACCTCTGGGGGCTGTGCAAACAGGAACTCTGGGGAGGCGCTGAATTCAGCCAGATTTTGCTCCGGGGAGATCTCTGCAGAAGCCGAAATATTGTGCCAATTATTATTATTATTATTTAATGCAAGTTTGCTTTCGTCCCATAAGTCATTCCGACTTTTTACCCAAGCAATCATGCACATCTGCTTCCCGTGCATAATTTTAAATACAGTGGTACCTCGGGTTACATACGCTTCATGTTACAGACTCTGCTAACCCAGAAATAGTACCTCGGGTTAAGAACTTTGCTTCAGTATAAGAACAGAAATTGCGTGGCAGCAGCAGGAGACCCCATTAACTAAAGTGGTGCTTCAGGTTAAGAACAGTTTCAGCTTAAGAACGGAACTCCGGAACGAATTAAGTACATAACCAGAGGTACCACTGTAGTCAGGATAAATGATCCAAAGATAACAAACATGCAAAAATTTCGAGGGGGAAGTAATTCTGCTGTCCAGGGGAGAAAGATGGTGTCACTATCTTTAATATCACAGTTATAATTACAATTGCAAGTTATTAATAATTAGCCATAACGATAGCCAAGAGTCCCCACACCCTCAGTAGCTCTACCAGTGGCAGCCTGAGAGAGGGAACTCTCTGGGGCAGCCCCTAAGTTGTGGAATTTCCTACCCACCAAGGTCCCTCTGGCACCTTCATTGGGAAGTTTCCATCATACAATGGCAGAAGCACCTCTTTCCCCTGGTCTTTGACACCTGAGAGAGATGTTTTTAAGACCCACCCTAGCCTTTCCGCTGTCGTTTCTTTTAAACCGAGTTTCATGCTGTGTACAGTGGTACCTTGGGTTACATACGCTTCAGGTTACATATGCTTCAGGATAAGAACAGAAATCGTGCTCCGGCGGTGCGGCAGCAGCAGGAGACCCCATTAGCTAAAGTGGTGCTTCAGGTTAAGAACAGTTTCAGGTTAAGAACGGACCTCCGGAACGAATTAAGTACTTAACCCGAGGTACCACTGTATTTAAACAGCTGCAACCTGCCCCAAGCAGCTAAGAACATCAGAAGAGGCCGGCTTAGACCAGTGGCCCACCTAATTCAGCATCCTGTTCTTACAGGTGCCCCTAGGTGAAGCCCACAAGCTGGACCTGAGCAGATGAGCAACTCTCCCCACTTGGGGTTTCTAGCAACTGGCATTCAGAGGCTTACTTTTATTATTTTAGTGTATTTTTTGTGTTTGTTGGAAGCCGCCCAGAGTGGCTGGGGAAACTCAGCCAGATGGGCGGGGTACACATAATAATAATAATAATAATAATAATAATAATAATAATAATAATAATTTATTATTATTATTATTATTATTATTACTTCCACCAGGTAGAACATAGCCGCTTGGGCTAGTAGCCATGGGCAGTTTTGTCCTCTAATCTTGACCTGCTAATTTTGACCTGCTAATTGGCAGCCACTGAGGTTACATTGGTTCGGTGAGGCCTGCCTCTGAGAAATTTCGGCTTAGGCCTGCAGGGTGTGGGTGGGCAGTGTGACAGGATCCGATCCGCACCCCCCCCTTCCCTCACATCTCAACAGTTGCCTGTGTGTCGACTCCTTGCCCATCCTATATTTAAAACGCTCTGTCACAGTCTCGCTCGGCTTTTGAGTAAGGACGGTGATGAGCAAGGGGGACGGGATGAGTCGCTGTTTGTGGTGAGGCAAGCAGGCCGATTTTCCCATGAGAAAATAGCTCTTGTTTCTCTTCATCAAAATGGAATGACACATTCTCTCCCCCCCCCCCCCCGGCCCCGAGAACTTGTACTGAAAGTTTTAAAATCCCACATTGCTGAAAGGAAACACCATATTTCAAGAATGCTTGATGGCAAGCAGAGAGGAGGGATCTTTTTTCTCCCATCGCCACCATCACACTTGTCTCCAGCTGTTTCGCTTTTCCATCCTCTTGGTATTTGAAATCTTTTTTAGAAACTGCATAACCATTTTTGAATCCCCTGTTACGGTAACTCGTCAGAATGGGGGGGAGGGAGGAAACCTTAACGAGCAAAGGAATGTTGCCCTTCAATTAACACCACCCAGGCCAGAATTTTGCCCCTCCCCACCCAGATTAAATTCTGGGTTAAATGAACTCATTCTTTAGCCAATTCTTTGGACGATTGATCTTGTGGTTGAACCGATTAAAACTTAAAAGAGACCATTTCAATCTTGGGCACCTTTTATTTTTTCCTGTCTGCCTCTTAGGAAACTAGTATTCAAATATTTTAATGTTGTTAGTCAGCACTTTTGAGAGATCGCTCCCACTAACTCTGTCCAAGGGATGCAGACTCACAATAAAGTTGGAAAGAGTGGTGTGTGGGTTCCTCTCCCCCATCTTTTTGAAATGAAAAAAAGCTTTGCCGAAGTCTTTGAATGAACCTCATTCGAAAGCTTTAACCCATCAGAGTTTTGATTTATTTTTTTTAAAGATAGCATGTTCCTTTAAGTTTAAGATACATTAAAAAAAAACCACAACAGGTCTTTCGTAGAGAGAGAGGCTACCATATTACCTCTTTAAAAAATGGCTGAGGGGAAATTGGGATGTGGGGTGAACGGGGGGGGGCAAGAAACTTCATCTTCTGATGACCAGCCTCTCATGTCATTTTGATTTATCGTTCACCCTCCGATTCCCAACAACTTGAATTCCAGTCCCTAACCACAGGCTCCTGAGGGTCCCTCTGTCAAAATTGTGTGGCAGCCAAGTGCTTTGCACCAAAGTCATCAAAGGAGATTCCTAATAGGGTTTTTCTCCCCTCTCCCTCTCTTGTCGGAACCCGCCCTGGCAATTAATAACACACACACACACACCCAAGTTAGCTGAGACGGGGAGAAAAATTAATGATTAGGCTGTGGCTCATCTCTTAAGCACCTTTTCAACCCTCCTCCTACAATTCCCTTCTTGCTGTTTGTCTTCCCTGAACGTACAAAGGAATTATCTGTACAAAGGAATTGACTGTGAATCCAGGGCAGCGTCCAAAATCTTATCTTTCATCTTAATCCTTAAACTTTTTTTTACTTTTTTTTAAGTTCCTACTCCTTATGGTCACATCTCATTTATCTGTTTTTTGTTATTTAAACTCTGCCAATGGCAAGAAATGATCAGGGCCACTTCCACAGTTCAGAACGCCGTTAGCGGCGTGATTTGAAAGTTTGAGAGGCAGAAGCTGGACGAAATTTCCAGTGCAGGATTTTAGTGTCATGCTTTGCTCCCTCCCTCCCGCCTCCGGCCAAAATAAATGGCAAAACCAAAGTCATCGCAAATATTCTGATTATTAGCAGTGATAACTCTATGGTGCTCCCACTTATAGAGGTAGGATCAATCATTCCCCCCCCCCCCCAGACACTCAGTTTGTGAAGCTTAGCTACATATCTCAGGGTGAACCCAAGGGCATTTGGGGAAGGGTAATAAAATTTAAAAAGAAGAAACTCCAGGTGTGCAGGAAAGAACCAGACCAAGGTCTAAGAATGGAAAACTGACATATTCTGTTGAAGGGGCCACCAGCCTTTTTTGAACCCGTGGGACCTTTGGATTTTTAGAGTGTGGAGGGGGCGGGGTGCCCATCGCAAAACAGCTGAGGAGGTGGAAAATAGCACAGAATGGCAGTCATGGGGAGGAAGGCCTGGCACAAAAGCCACCCCCAACAAACTAGAGTCATAGACCGGTACGGTGGAAATCAAAAGTCATTTGATTCAACCCCCTGCAATGCAGGAATCACATCTAAAGAATACCTGACAAAGGAGAGTCCTTATGCTTGCCATGCAAAGGCGGCCATGTCCTGCTTCTCCTGATTGTGGAGATCATACAATATTGATTTTATACACATGCACAGGGAGTGAGGGAGAGATGCTGTAATGGCCTAATAGCACCAGGCAGCTATTCCTCAGGACCAGGAAAAACATGCAAGATGGCCACACCACATTCATTCTCATTTCACAAAAGTTGCTCAGTTACTTGCACATTTTGTCCCGTAGCTTCCTAGGAGGACTAAGAGACTTTTTCCTTCTAGGGTTGCCATGTGCCCTCTTTTTCCAGGACACGTCCTCTCTTTCAGGGGTAAAATTTCTGTCGGGGTGGATTTTTTTAAATGTGCCAGAGTGTATCTCACTATGCTTTCTGGAAGAGACGTAGGAATAACTGGTGGCCGAAGACTTGCTTTCCTCTTCTTTTCTCCTGCCCCCCTCAGCAATATATCAGCTTCTATAGCTGACAGATTGTAGAGGTGTTTAAGATGAGAGTCATTAAAGCGCTCTCTCTTTTTTTTGCTCTTTGAAATATGGCAACCCTAAAAAAGCTCAGAACCTGGGTACTTGCCCAGAGGCAGCAGTGAAGACTTTGCAACCGCCAGGCTGGTACTCCCTGCTCTGTGGGGGTTTTAACCATAGAGATACATCTAGCCCTGAGCTGTCCCATTTAGGGAGCCCTACCTGTGCATTATAGTTCTGCATACTTTAATGTGCATGCAGTTGCCCACAGTGGAATATTTTTGGACCTGGATAATTGTTAATCTTCTTTGCTTCAGAGCACACGAGCCCCAAGGTTTGGTCACATTAACACCGAGGGGGCTGCGTCTGAACCAAAAAGTATATTTATACTTTTTGAACCACTGGAATATCAAAGAGGGGACTGTCCACTAGGTACCATGGAAATAGTCACGGCAGCCTAATTTCCCATTGCCTGTGCATATAACATGAACGTCATAAATTTGAGCTCACAGAGGAATCTTGTGCGCTTGGGCCAAACCATGATCCAGGGCCCAGTTGTCTTTGGAAGAGATCGATCCATAAGAGAGAAGGATACAGACCCCAGATTCCTTCCCTCTGAGCACTCCATACTTCAATTATCTTTATAAATGCCCTTTTTACATCTTACTTTTCATTCCCATCACCGTGTGGTTTCTGTGGGTTCCCAAGCGCCAGCCTTCCCCCAATTTCCCATTATAAAATTGTTTGTATTTCAGGCTAACAGCGTTCCTAAATAGAGCCAGTCTTCAGGTGCGTTGACGGATATTTACAGCAGCTCAGTGCATTGCGACCTTGTTTCCTCGTTAGAAGGTTCAGGGGGAATGGCAGTGGGACAACAATGAGTTGTCAGAGGGAGAAGAGAGAACAGACTGGGAGGAGAAAGTGTCGGAAGCTGAAGAGGGTTAGTGAGCAGGAAGAAGCTGTGGCCGAGAGAAGCCCAGAATCAGAGGCAGAAGTGGAGGGTGGAGAGGAGGGGGCCAAGACGCAGAGTGGAGGCAGGCTTCTGAAGAAGGCAGGGGGGTCTCCCCCTCCTGCTGTGACCAGCTCCCCTGTCCCCTGGTCTCCCAGGACCAGAAGAGGTAGGAAGAGGGCGGAGCAATGAGAGGCAAGAAGGCAAAGGAGCCTTAGGCTGCTGGGAAGGAACAGGGGGGAAAGAACCTTAGAGAGTGGTGGGAAGGCGGGGACCTTCAGTCCTCACAACTGCCTCATTGGGGCAAGAGCTACTGGGAAGAGTTGCTGTGATCCCTAGGCCTGCCTTGTTCTGTCAGGGAACTGCCATCAGCTCAGAGACGAGAGATGGAAGGGCAGTTGTGTTATTGGGAGCCTCCGAAAATCTTGCAAAGCAGTTCCTCTTCTGGTGAGGAGGAAAGGCCTACCTCCAGTGGAGAAGAAGCGCAGGGGCAAGGGGATGCTAGGGAGAGCCTTAAGACTGAGCCTGAGCAAGCCAGAGAGGCAGGAAGTGCGTCCTTGCCAGTGCCCATTCTGCGCAGTAGTCTTCGGCGCAGGGAGGGGTGGAAAAGGCTGGGGGCGACTTTTATGCTGGGGGAGGTACAAAAACCGACCGCTCCCAGATTCTGCTAGCAATTGAGACAGACATGAACCTATGACGCTCTTCACTGTAAATAGTTTGCACCAAGAATAAAGCCTGTAAAAGACAGGTCGGAGTCCTGCCTGGTTTCTCTCGAGCAACCACCACAGCCATCTGACAAGTTCCTTTGAATAAAGAGTTAACCCCAGTGACACCGGGTGGCCTGACTCCTGCTGCTAACACCCACCGACAGCCCATCCTCTCTGGAGCTGGGCACCCAGTCTGGATCAGAATCTTGAAGGCATCCTTTCTCACCCTCTACCAAGAGTCCATATGGCAAACAAAGTTTGAAACAGAGGGTCCTTTTAAGAACTCTTGAAGAAGAAGGATGTGGGAGCCTGTTCTCTGGAAGAGGAAGTCGTTAGTTGGAGCTGCGCTTCCTTGGCTTGAATATTTTCACTGGCGCTAACGGCGACAATCTGTTAGCAGTTCTGTTTGATGCGCTAATCAGTTCCACATACAGCCCTTTCTTTGGCGTTTGGTTTTGTCTGCGTTCTCCTGTGTGCACGCCAACGAATAGATCTGGTGTGGAGGGGCCACGGCTTGCCAGATATTGCCAGGCTCTCAGCGGCCCCTGCTGGCAGCATGGCCCGGGGGGCTGGGTGCTGGGGCCCAGCACCCCCACGCTTGAAAGCTGTGGAATTCCCCGCCCACAGTCAGCCTTGGCCACCAACTTGGGTGGTTTTAAAAGAGGACGTGACAAATTCATGGAGGATATATGGCTGCCAGTGGCTACTAGCAATGATGGCGAGGCTCAGCGCTGGGAAGTTGGCTACTGTGAGAACAAGATGCTGGGAAAGATGGGTCTCTGGCCTGATCCAGCATAGGCCCTTCTTACATTCCTAGTGTATAGTTTTCATCGTATGCTGACAACACGCCCCCTTTACCCTGGCCTTTGGACACCTGAAATTTATTTTTTAGGTCTCACCCTTGGGGCTTTGTGGCCCCCAACACATTACTCTTGTGGCTATGTGGCCCTTGGTGGAAAAAAGGCTTTCTCACCATTGGTCCCCCTAGCTTGGCACCGTCTACACCAGTCGTCTGACTTGCCGTAAGGCAAACTTCCTGTGCCCCTTCCTTGCCCAGAAAGCTGGAGGTGTGAGTCACTCGGCTCCTTTATCTTCCGACCCTTTCTCCATACAGAAGGCCTTGGCTTTGGCCATTTGCCAGGACCCCCTGCTGTCCATGAGTCATTCTCAAGGGAGACCGGGGAGTTGCGGGTGGGGAGGAAACATCACTGTGAAAATTTGTTCTCCAGAGGTAATGACCGAATTGCACATTGATAACTGAGGGGTGGAGCTGCAAAGTCTGTCATTCTGCGCTGTGGTCGGGATCCAACAAATTCTGCCTTTGCATGTGGCTTTGGTTTCTTAGCTAGTTGCTCCCCACACCGCACCACTGCTCTTGAAACCGAAAATGGTCTCAGAAGCAGTCTCTTTCCTTTGAAGGGTAAAAATTCCAGAGGAAATAGTGATAGGGGTGTTTGAGCCCACAGCCCCCCCCCCAAATTTACAATTGCTGTATTACACCACGCTGGCCAGATTCATTCGTAGACTCAAAGAATTGGAAGGGACTGTGGGGGTCATTTGGTCCAACCCCTTGCGATTCAGGAATCTTTTGCCCCATGTGGGACTCAGACTCACGACCCTGAGATTAAGGGCCTCATGCTCTACTGTCTGAGCTATTCAGACACACTGTTAGCTGGGTTGCAGCCGTTTCATGTGTACATGCTGCCAGTCAGTGCAGACAGCACTGAGCTAGATGGACTAACGGCCTGACTTGGCATGGCAGCTTACTGTGTCCTTCCCCCTACTCTTGCTACACTCCTGGTTAGCTTCTCCCAGCTTCTTCTCCTTGCAGAGGTGCTTTCCTTGCCTCTTTGATTAACTATAATGGGGGCTCACATGGGTCAACAAATGGGACTTCCTTCCTGGTCATAGAGCACCTGTGTCCGGAATTCTTGAGGGGCCCAAAGGTAAATACTGGAATATAAAATAAGCCAACAAATGTTGTACAGTCATACCTCGGATCCCAAATGCCTTGCAAGTCGAACATTTTGGCTCCTGAATGCCCCCAAACCCGGAAGTGAGTGTTCCGGTTTGCGAACATTCTTTTGGAACCGGAATGTCCGGCGCGGGTTCCGTGGTTTCTGATTGGTTGCTGGATCTTCCTGCAGCCAATCGGAAGCCGTGCCTTGGTTTCCGAACATTTTGGAAGTCGAATGGACTTCCGGAACGGATTCCCTTCGACTTCTAGGGTACGACTGTATTAGAATCATAACCCTGTTTTGTTTCGGAAGCATCATCACATGCTGATTATTCACTGCAGTCCTTGCATATTTGCCACCACCACTAACCTGCTTCTCTTTCCCCTCTCCAGGGTCCACACATAGCATCGGTGACGCTTGCTGCTTATGAATGTAACTCTGTCAATTTCCCTGAGCCGCCCTATCCTGACCAGATTATCTGCCCTGATGTAGAAGGGGTTGAAGGATCCATTTCTTTATGGACCATCATCTCAAAAGTCAGGCTGGAGGCCTGCATGTGGGTAAGAAACTGATCAAGCCAAGCAATATATGTTTTTCAAAATTTAGTAGGTTAGAGAGCAGCCTTGTAAATAAAGCTCAAAACAGATACTAATCACAAGTTTTTAGCAGCTCACCCAAGCCAAAAGTAGGCAGGACACCCCTTTCTCTCTTTCCGCCACTCTCTCTCTCTCTCTCTCTCTCCTTCTTGCTTGCAGTGATTTGCACCCCCTCTAGAAATTTAGATTTTATATGCAAGTGTGTGCAGATTAAGATGTTTAAAAAACCAGTTAAGGTCTCCTTTGTATCAGCGCACTGATGTCCTGCTAACTTGCCTTATTTACAATTCCAAAGTGTATTCCTTGTTGTTGTTTTATTCTTCTTTATAGAGATAATCCACCTGCATTACACATAACAGCTTTGACAGTTCCCTGCCCCAGTGTGCTTCCTTGCAGTTTTAAAATAGGCACAGGGAAAGAAAAGAAAATGGGAAATAGTGAAATTATTTCACCTACATCTAGGATTGACTTAGTGACAATAAAGCAGCCTTCCCCAGGCAGGTACTTTCCAGAGGCTGACGGCCTCTCAGCTCCCCTCAGCCCCAGGCAGGATGGCCAGGGGTCAGGTTTATGAGGGGAGCTGAGAAGGCTGCAGTAAGAGCATGTGTTTATATGTGTGTGTAGCATAACAATGAACAAGAATTAGATGGGAGAGTGAGTGTGTGGCACAATGTTTGAAACAGGAGTCTCGGGCAGAACCAAGAGCCCACGCACGTTGCTAATTCAATTTCCTTTATGAATCACTTTCTACGTTGCATCTTGAAGGAATCTAACAACAGAAACATCAGCTGGAAAAACACATGTAGAACAACTTAGTATGTAAAACCAATTAAAAGGATTCCCCGCCCCCCCATATATATATTTATACAGTTTCAAATCCATTGGCAGATAAATAACTGGACATCAGGCCTGTCAAGTTGGTTGGTGGTGTTTATGGTCTTGAAAAACCAAAAAGAAAGAAAGAAAGAGAATAATCCAGCGCAGATACAGACTGGGGTTAAGACCTCCACTTGTTGAGAACAGGAGGTCTTCATAGGTCTTCATAGGTCTTCATTAGAGACGGGGACCTGTTTTGGTACATAATGGGAGGAGGTCCACAGGGTGAATACTGCCACACTCAAGGCCCAATTCATCACATGGAACAGATCTCCTAATGAGAGATTACGCAGGAGGCCCTTTCCTGCAGAGCACAGTGATCCTGTTGGGTAGATAAGGGGTGAGCCAGTTGTCTCCTAGCGACAGGAAGAGCCACAGACACATTAAACCAGAGAAAGGGCACTGCTTTACTGATAGAGAGCCACTGCCATGATGGGTGTGATGCCTGTAACAGCTGACATGCTTTGCGGCATCCTTGCCTGCATCCTCTTCCAAGGCCTCCTGGCTAAAGGATGCTCCCGAGAAAAAGCGGCTGCAGGGTGTCCTGGCAGTTGTTGTTGCTGCTGCTGCCGACGACGCAGGGTGTCGTGTGACTTTTTGTCTTCCCCTGAAGGGGAGGCTTGCTGTTAGCTGATTTCACAACATGTTTTCCCCTCCCCTTGCCCTCGCTTGCGTGAGTGTGCAGGCACTGCCTTTTGATTTCCTGTAAACTAAACGATGCTGGCAGCTGTATGTGTGTATGGGCATCTCAAAATGCACCCCTCCTTTGTCCCAATTGGAAGTAGGACCAGAGCAGAGGCCAGCAGGCACGTGCTCACAGAGTGCAGCGGCTTCTGTTTCTTTCCGATCGCTAAGTCAGACTGTACCTGCTCTTCCCGTAACACATTGCTGGTTAACGCTTCCACGTGTTTTTTATAACAAGGGTGGGGGGAATTGGGGAAGGTCTGAACTCTCACTGTCACCTAACACTGCCCGCCCGTCTCCCATCTCCCACTGTTAAGAACCCCTTCCTTTAAAACAGTCAGTCCCCCCAATCCTGCCTGAATAAAACAGCTTTCACCTACCAAAGGAAAGGCAACAAGGAGGGAGGGAGTCTAGCCTCTCAGGAAGGAAGTTCCAGAACCTGGGAGCCACCACCAAGAAGGCCGTGCCCTGCATCCCTGCCAAACGTGACTTTGAGGGTGGCAGGGCTGAGAGAAGGGCCTCCCCTCAAGATCTTGGAGCCTGGGCAGGTTCATAAGGGAGAATACAGTCCTTCAGATAGATAGCCTGGGCCGAAGCCCTATAAAGCCCTGAGAATCATGCCCAGAAAGAGACCAGTAGCCAGTGAGCTGTTGTAAGAAGGGTGTTATATGCTCCTTATAACCAGCCCTGGTCAACAGTGAAGAAACCAGCACAGCTGAGGTGCAACCCCAAAGGAGACTTGGGATTGTGATGAGGGAGGTGCCCTGCTTCAAGTTGTGGGTTTGGGGAGAAGAGAGTTACGAAGAGTCCCTCGTGTGGGTTGAGGGGCACTCCCTGGTGAGAGGAAGGTGCGCCAGGGTGGGAGACAGCAATCCCAATTGCAGTCAGGAACCGTGTATCTGTGTGATTGATGGGTGACCATTCGTTCTGGTATTTTTATGCAGTTCTGTCAGCGAATGGCCTCCTTTTGTCGCAGAGGGGAGGGAGTGATGGCTGACGCATTTGGAGATGGAGAAGGGATATATTGGAGTGGCTGAGGGGATAATATGTGTGCGTTCGTGCGTTTGTGGATGTGGGAGTAGAAGGGGATGGGCGATATTGGATGAGTAGTAGAAAGCGCTTGATTTATGTACATGTAAGACAGAATTTTGGTGTGATGCATACGTGTTAGTGGGACGAAGGTTGTCTATTGCGTGTCAGGCTCTGCCTTGGCAAGAGGCAAGAGGGAAGGAGCTCCGGACTCTAGAGCTGTTTTCAAAATATGCTCCTGCATGTTTGATTTTGTGTGGTGGGAGGATTTTATTGTTTTGTATTTTATTTTACTTTTTTCCTAGTTTTTCAGTTTCACTGTTCAGTGGTACCTCGGGTTAAGTACTTAATTCGTTCCGGAGGTCCGTTCTTAACCTGAAACTATTCTTAACCTGAAGCACCACTTTAGCTAATGGGGCCTCCTGCTGCCGCCATGCTGCCGGAGCACAATTTCTGTTCTCATCCTGAAGCAAAGTTCTTAACCCGAGGTTCTATTTCTGGGTTAGTGGAGTCTGTAACGTGAAGTGCATGTAACCTGAAGCGTATGTAACCCGAGGTACCACTGTATTTATTTTGTAAATCACTTATTATTCTTATTCTTATTCTTATTATTATTTATTGCATTTATATCACTCCTTCTCCTCCAAGGAGCTCAAAGTGGTGTATATATTTCTCCCCCTCATTTAATCCCCTCTGTGAGGTAGGTTAGACCGAGAGGCAGTGACTGGTCACCCAGCGAGAGCTTCATGGCTGAGTGAGGACTGGAACCCTGGTCTCCCGGGCCAGCACCACTTAGAGAATGTCCTAGTATTAAGCAGTATAGAAACAGATAAAAGAATAAAATAAAGAAACGAACTATAAGGAAAAATAAAGCGATAATGCCCCCACCCTGGAAAAAAACCAAACCCATCCTCTTTTCTTCCATTGAGAAACACAAATCAACCCATTGAATTCTCAGTAGAGACTGTTAGGATTGCACCGTAAGGCCGGTGCTATTTTGCTTTTGTGAAATTCCTGGGATTCTTTTTTAATATTTGCCCACATGCCCAGAACGGAAGGAGATAGCAGAGGGCAGAAGACGAGAGATGGGGACAGACAGAAACATCCCTGAGATCTATCCCATCAATCTCTGCCCACTGGCGTGGACGTCAAGGGACAGAACATCATTGAGCACCCATGTCTAGAAAAAATAAAATAAGGGAAGGTGTAGAAGCCAGTGTGCCAGACCAGCACAATCTGGCCTTTATGATCCGTTTGCGATATACTGTACAACCCCTTTCTGGAAGCACTCTATGCATGAGTTTCTTAGAAAGTTTCTCGTGAAACGGTTGGGATTGAGGCCAGGTCTAAAAATGTAGCAGAAGTAAGTAAAAACAAAATCCGCTTGCAAGCGGAATATTAGCACATTATATTCCCCCATAGAGCTGAAGGAGGAAGTGGGAAAGAGTGTCACTCTTCCCACTTCCTCCATCGTCTTTTTGAAGGAGAAGAAGGGAAGTCACTTTCGCCACCTTGTGGT